GCAGGGAGATTTAACTGGTATAGAACATAAACAGTTCCGCTTATGATCTTTAACAAAGTTTTTTATTTTTTTGTTTCTGTGTTTGTTTCACTGTTTTGTTGGGTTTTTTGTTTGTTTGTTTATAAAACTAGAAAAAGTCGAAACAAAGCCTCTGTATTCTTGTAAAGCTTTTTTTTCTCTTCTTTCCTGCTTCTTAGGACTTGCTGGTACTGCAAAATTGGCCTTACATCTGTTTGGTTGAGTTCTTACTGCTCCAAACAGAAAGGGCAGCAGTTTGAAAGATCTGGTGTTCATACAGCTGCGAGTTTGATGATGGGGACAACTGTTTTTGTTCTGAAAGTACACATTTTCTTTGGGACTTTCTTAGGAGAGGGACCTGGTTATCCTTATTTATATCCCCCAGCTGCACGAAGCTTTCAGGTAACTGCATGAGGCTTTAGAACCCCAGTGAGTTCTACGTGACAGACATAGCCCTGCTGTATAGCTATCATCTTCTTTCAAATCTTTTCACTATTTCATGGCAGGAGGAATCACCAGATTTGCAATGTTCACTCTTAGCAGTCTGTTATGATTTCTTTTTCTCTGTTGAAACCCAGTGCTGTGCCTGTCCTGGCTGCTTCCTGTGGGAGCACCCACTCCCCTGATGCTGGCTGGGCTTCTTTGCGTCACACACTGTTCTCTGGGACCCTCCCTGAGTAATAAATAGGCTCAGGGTAACAGTGAGGCTTCTGTCCCCATGTAAGTGCAAGCCTATAAGCTTCCTTTAAACTTTAAACGTTTCATTGTTGGAAAGCTTTCAGATGTTCACAGGATAAGGGGTCTTTATATATAGCTGGCATTGCGTGGTAAAAGATTGCTTTATGTAAGCTAAGTTTAAGATGTGCAGTTCCTTTATAAACTCAGCATGCAGGAGATGTTTCTTTCTTCTTGTGCTCAACATTGCTTTCAGAGGGTTTTTAAATGGCTATTCATTTTTTTATATTTATAAGATAAAAAAAGTTTAAGGGAGAAATATCAGAAAAATGCACCTCAGATAAAACCAAGCATGCATGATCCCATGCATTTGTTCAGATGTGTCAGCAACCTGCAGAGCTGAGTCCTCAACCTGCCCAATTAGGGGCACTCCACGCTTTGCTGCAATAGGGCCAGAGGAACTCGCTACTGGCTGGATTGATTCATGACCCAGAACCTACTTCGTACGGTGTATAGCATAATAAACACAAATTACATTAGAATAAATGAAAAAAGAAGAGTATTGCTTGACGCAGTAACCAACATTTTCTTTACAAAGTGGATCCAGCTCATTTATGGGTTACGCACCCTGATCCAACTATGTTCAATTGTAAACTGTTCTCCAATGTGAAATCTTACATTATCTTACCAATTGTTACCAAGTAAAATAACCCAGCAACTAGAGATGTGTGCTTCTATTTGAGGTTTGAAAAGGCAGGAACAAAGGCATGTTACTAGTAAAAAACATTCAGATGCTTATTATTATCTAGATTTCATTTTGTCTCTGAGTATCACCAACAGAATTGCATCTACTAGAATCCATTTGAAAAATACTTAAGACTATGATTTCAGCCAGTTGCTTCCTCCAGCTGGGTCAAGCTTGCGTGCAAGCTGTAACACCTCCAGTATGTACCAAACCAGAATGCTTCTGACTGTGCACTAAATCATGGCTTTATCTGTTTTATTTGACAGTAAATTATTTTTGCTTTAATGGAAAGCAGGTTTTCTGTGGGCTCATCTAGAATTGTTCACCACCGACTTGATCCAAAGATCCTGGAAGTTGGTGGGTGTTAATAGAGTTTGGCATGTAAGCTTGGATTAAAAAAGTTGTTACTGTGTCTACTGTCAGTAATTTCTCATTTGCCAGTAAGACTTAACTTTGATCCCAGTCTGAACTGACAAAAACATATTTGGAAACAGATGAGGATAAACAGAAGTTGGCTCTAAAGCAGGCAAGGTGAGGAAACCAAGTGTGCTGGTGACGTGATTCTCCTTACCACAATGTATTTCACAAAAGACTTTTCTCTGTTCAAAAATGCAACTTTTACACAAAACTGAATAAAAGCAACACTAGTGTATGTGCAACACTGAGGGAGGGGGGAGCATGGGTTGTTTTTTATTTTCAGTAAAAAAATTCCAATTTGTTGAAGCTGGTGCTGCTTACAGGAAATGGCTGTTCTTGGCAGACAGTAAGTGTGATCATCTCCCAAGACTGTTTTTGTGGTGGTTGTTTGTTGCTGGCTTTTTTTTAGATATTTCAAATAAAGTCTCTTCTTTGAGATTCAGAGCAATTTCTCACATCAAATGGTTTCTGAGTATTTTATGCCGTGCTGTTTAGGAGAAGATGCTTGGGCAGCTTTCATTTGGACAGCATCCTGCCTTGGCAGTGACATGGGAGTCATAGCTTGGAGTGATAGCTTTGGGCTGGGATGGGTAGCAAGCTGCAGCAACTTGCTTATTGCTTAAATCTAATACTATTCCATTCACTGTGCAGTGAAACAGCCTCATTTCACTTTTGCTTTTAGAAGTGGAGGGGGAATTCAATTGTGAGTTTCATCAGAAAAGATTTTCATCAACACTTTTCCTGCATCATTTCTTCTTCCTTCCCCACTCTTCCACTGGGTGTGGTAACAAACCTGAACTTTTACCATATTCCATTCAGTTGGTGCCAGCAGCTTTTTGAATATTAGGTTATACCTCTGTACCCTCTAGCCAACCCTTCATAGTGAAGCAAATCAATGCATTTTATGGTAAATGCTTTCTGTTATAAGAACTATTTGCAAAAATGGCCTTTTCCAAAAGATGTGTACTGTTCAATGAACAGTCACATGGTTACTTCCAGTTTTTCCCAAGAAGAGCAGAGAAAAGCTCTCTTCCATTAGTAATTCTGATCAGGCAAAGCTTTTGTTGTCTCTTTTATTTATTATACTAATTAAAAAAAAAGAAAAAAAGAAAAAAAAAGAAAAAGCTAAATTAGTGCATCTCAAAGCCTGTGTTTGTTTATTTGCACCTTCTATGCTGAATTCTCCAAAGCCAGTAAAGTCAGTCTCACTTTTCTGAGAAGCGATTGTCAAATGTTGGAGATAAGTGATATTATTCAAAGACCTCAAGAAAGAGAACTATTCCTTCTACATAAGTAGAAGGAAAATTTTCTCCATGGGGAATTATTAAGCCAGTCTCTTGGTGCAGAAGGAAATAATGAGCTAATCTGAAGCTGAGGTGCTATCGGTCTGTTTCGAACACGGCTTGTCTCCTGTTTCCAACTTTTCTGCATGCAGATGCTGTCCAATTAGTTGGAAGGCAGAAGTAGTCTCTTGACTTGATTTTGCTTTCCAGGCCAAATGCCTGGAAGCTAGGGAGGGAAATGGATGGCACTGGAATAATAACCACCTTCCCCGAGTCTGAGCAAAGCAGTTAAGACCCATCTTTTTTTCAGTGTTTTCATGTATTCTGCCAAGCTGTACAATAGATACTGGGGGAGGAGGAGTTGTGTTTTTTCCTTTATTCCTTAGTTTATCCAAGCTATTTGGTTTTCATTTCTTTTTTTCAATCACTAAACTAAGAAAGCAAGCAAGGAAGATGATGTTTTGTTTTGCAGTTGTGTGATTAAAAATGTCTACTCCTACAATCTTGCACAAAAGCCTCTTCTGAAGTTTTTACATTCTTTTATTCCTTTCTTTCCCCACCCTGAACTCTCCACCCAAAATGACGTTTCAGCCTTATGAAATTAGAGGTCTGCTCTCTAACCAAGATTTAGAACAGTGTAGCCCAGTTGCCATAATTTAAATAAAATTTCTTTGGTTATTCCTGAAGAGTGACTTTATTTTCCTAGCTGCTTTTCATGCAACAAGGACCAGTAAAAGTAATGTGAGCTGAGAAGTCTTGCCTCTTCATTTCCTGCACAATGCTTACAGCATCCTTCAGGAAAGGCACTGCCGCAAAGATCTGCTGCTGCTGCAGCTGAGGCAGGTTTTCTCCATCAATAATGCAGGCCTCTAAGTCATCTGTGTACAGTTGTAAAGTTACTCATTCAGCATTAATTTTACAGATGCCTCTCTCGTGGAAAATTCAGCTCTGTACTTGGGAGGGAATGGGAGTGTTTCTGAAAGCAGTTCAAGTTCAGTCTGACCTCACCAGTTTGGACACACACTGAAATGTGTGTCCTTCTCCATTTGCTGCACGGTTATCATTCCCAGAGCTGAATACCAGCAAAATCACAGCTCCTCCATCTTCTAGGGACTTGCAAAATAAATGTTTTAACATCATTTTCAGGCTGTGCTCCGTGAGCTGTTCTTTCAAAGATTTCGCCTCGAGGAAAAATAAGGAGTAGCTGTCATTTGAAATTTACTCAGCGTTGGCTAAATGATGGCATTTGTCACTTCTGCTCTCCTTGTTATTCAGGCTGGCCCTCGCGTGTGTCAAACTGGATACTGCGTTTTGTTAGTTCTTCTCCCTCTTTGTTCTCTTAGAGAACAGGAGACAATTAATATTGTCAAAAAATGTAATGTGGCACAACTCTCCCCTCCCCCCCCCCTTTTTTTTTTTCCTTTGTGTAATATTCCAACACAAAGACTGTCGAGAGCATTATGTGTATCACATTTTGAAAACACGTTGGTAAGGCAAACTCACTAGGAGACCTCAGGTTGGCCAATTCTTTGGGACCTGATCTAAAATAATTGGCATGTTTGCTTTACGCTGCAGCTTGTTTCACGTTGTTGACCTTGTATCCTTGGTGTCTGAAGAGCTGTCATGGCAGTGACATGTGTCTGAGCAGTCTGAAGGAATCCGGCAATTATTTTAATATTTTGCATAATACTGGTGGAATGTAATAATTCGTTGTGAGGGATCAAATCCAATTACCTCATTCCCTAAAACTGGAAAAACAGTGGAAGTTTGGTGATAAATGCTTACGGAGTGAGAAAGAAGTGTAACAATTTGTGACATTCTAGTCACTAACTTTTTTCTTTCCCTTTCTCGTTTTTTTGCAGGGCATGTTTTCGAGCCATTTTTGAGGAGATGTGGTGAATGTAAACTTGCTCTCTTGGGGGCGAAATTCTGGTAAGTGCTGCAGTCTTGATCAGTTTTGGCTTTCAATGAAAATTTCAGAAATATTGTGCTAGCTTTTATTTCAGTTTAGTTTTTTTTTTTACTTGATGGGAAATGCAGCTCACAAAGTTGTAGCTGATTACATGTATTTTTTTTCCTCTGGTATGGAGATGCACAGTATGAGAAGCACTGACAGAAAGCAGCATGCTGGGCCTCAAGGCAAGGAATGCAGTTTCATTTGCTCCTGTGGCATCTGCTTATTGTGTTTGTAGCTGTTACATTCAGCTGAGGAGTGGCTGAAAACTAGTAGAAGAAACCCAAAGCCTAATTATAAAACAAGGGAACCAAAAAGCATGCTAGAGGTAAGAAACATGAGCAGCAACAATAACGCAGAGGGAGCAGTGGGGATGTCTAGTCAGTGTGAAATCTTTCCATCCAGTCCCACAGCCTCCACATGGAGCTAGAAGGATTTGCTCATCACTGTGACGTAAGGAGATAGTCAGTGCTCCTGTGTGATGCACCAGGTTTCCCATTCCTCCTTTCTATTTCTTGTGACAGGCTTTGCTGCTTCTGATTGTTCCGTGCACACTTCTAGAGACAACAGCTTCCTACAGGTTGATGTGGGCTGAAGTGGTAGTATGGCATGTTGTGTACAGCATAGCTGTGTTCCTGAGTTATGCCACTGTGAGAAGAAAGGAGGCATTAAAGAGTGGAAGATAATTAGTGACATGCCCCAACAGGAGGGAAGTAATCCTGAGAAAACTCTTTGTAGCTTTCTCTTTTTCTATCTAGTCAAACCTAAAAAAATAATAATAATCCCAGCAACAAGCAAAAACAAAACAAAGCAGCAGATCCCCAGTGGTTTGTAGACTTACCTTGCTTTTCCCTCTCAGAGACTCAGCGTATGCAGCTGTGGCTGGTACCTGTTGATCATTGGCACCCTTGGAAAAAAATTGCAGAAGGTTGTGTCTCTTTTTTCCCTTGGCCAAGAAGAGTGTTGGACTAGAATGTTTTCTTCAGCCAATGTGTGCAGATTGCAGATGAAAACCAGCTTATTCTCCATTGGCAAAAGACTTCAGAGTAAGATAGCCTGCAGGGGTAGAAAACCCAAAATCAAAGACTGGCCCTATGAGAACACTTGTTCCTTTCTGCCATTTAAAAAAGAAATAACAGATGTTGTTACATCATACAGAAGAATCTGGATTATCTAGCAGATGTTTAAACGTAGATCATTTAGCCTTCTGCAGAAAGTATAGTCTTAAAGTGAAGAAAAAATGAAATGATTAAGATCAAAATTAAAAAAAAAATTCTGCCAAATGCTTGAAAAGTCCTGTACAGCTATACCTGGGTAAACCACGCTGCCATTCTTTTAAGTAATTTTCTCTCTACTTGTATGTCCAAAGATGAGCTATAGAACAGCTGCATGAACTCGCATCACATGAGATTTTGTGCTTTTTCTGTTGCTGCAAGAGAAGATCTATATCTAGTTTGCTTTTTGATGATAGCTACTAGACTTTGGTAGTATAAGTTGTCTGATGTCCTTACATATTGGGCGATCTTTGTGTGACATGTGATGAAGCTGTATTTCTCACAGGTCAAGAAGCAGCATTGTAATGCAAAATAGTGTTGCTGTGTAACATAAAGGAAAATAAGGTTATGGGCAGACATGGTAAAGAAATTGTTGTGTTTAAATTTCCCTTCAAAGTTGCATCAGTGATCTAGGCCCAATGAAATAACATAGTTCGAGAGCAGCAAGAGGAAAGAGATTAAGAAACACATTCATTGGAACGAGAATAATTTTGGTTGGAAGAAACTGCTGTTTGGCGTCTTGCCCCCTTGAATCAGATCCTATAAAATCAGGTTGATCGGGGCCTTGATTTTCAAAATTCAGTTGGGCTCCAAGGGTGGAGGCTTCTCTGGGCACCTGTTCCTATATCTGACAGTCCTCAGAGTGAAAATGTACTTCCTTGTTGCTTTCATTGTTATCACTCACTGTTGATCAGTGTGTAGCTTGCATCTTCTCTGCCTGTGAGAGAAGAGTTTTGCTGAAGAACCTTCCAGCCCCAGATCAGGGATGCTGCATCCCGTGGCTCCAAAGAAATAAGGTGTCACATGGATGCAGTAGACTTGTTAATGGGGGGTAAAAATACAGTCTGGTTCATTGAGGATCTATTTGCACAGTGTTGTTCAACTTTTAGTTCATGGTCAGACTTGGGGAGCATGGCTGCTGACTTGTCTGAATCTCAGAACCAAGGAGAAAGTGATATTCCTGAAAACTTCTTAACTTCTTGTTCAGAGATAGAACCCAGTAAAAAGACACTGTTCTCACTGTTGGTTTGTATACATTCTAGAATTTCTTTGAGCCAGTTTGGAGCTCACTTTGTGGTACTTCATGTTCCAGGATTTTGCACAATAATTTAATATTGTTTTCCTGGAGCTATTATAATATGTAAACAGACTCTGCAAATTTTGCTTGTTTTCACAGCTGTTTCTTCTCTTCTTCCCACTTCAAATTGTTTGCAAAATCTCATTTTGAGGAAGAATAATCAGGTATCAGTTTCTGGTCTGTAAGGATCTCTGAAACATCTTTGTCCCCACTGTTAGTTTGCCTATGGCAAGGAAAGAGTTTTGTCTGGTCTCTGTCCCTAACCCACTAAATCCAGGAAGGTCTGGACACTAAGAGAGCACTTTGAATTTATCCTGACATAGTAGCTAAGCTCAGAGGCACAGAGGTCACTCACTCATCTTGGATCAAAGTCCTAGAAAGGGTCATACAGCCTCCAGCTCAAAGCTTCATAATGGATTTAAGAGCTGATCAGAAAAGTACACTTGAGTGCTTTGAGGGAAATCTTGATTAATTTAAAACTCACTCAGCTAAGCTGATGGTATCTTCCTGAGCAGTGTGAGCAGAGACCTCTTTTGATGAGATTTCTGTAAAGCAGCCTTGTGGATGTCTGAGCAAATGCTGCTTGGCACTTAGGTGTTTGACCCATGTGGTATTGAACATGATGTTTGGTGGGAGGTCACTGAGTGGCCTTCTCTCCGTCATATAAAACACTGACACAACTGCGAGAAGCACAGCTGAAGTACAAAAGAAAACTTTGGAGTGATCTGTGTTTTAGTTTTTTCCCCTATTCTTTGCCAGTCTGAATGCCCCTTGAAACTCAGGCCTTTTGTAAGATTTTTTTGCATGTTTGAGCACGACTTATTCTGTACGTGGTGTTTTGTCCCTATTTATCAGGTTCTGTGGCTGGTTATATCATTAAAAAATTTGGATTTTAGCTGCTAAGATCTCCTCTAGTGTTTTGGGTTGGATTTTTTTTTTTTTTTTGCCCACTAAGGACTATCAGATTCCTCTTCTCTTAGCAGATAGTGCTTGCTTTGATTTTTAGAAATTATGTTAAAACAAATTCTCAGTAACTTGATGCATAGTAAGTTTGATTACCTTTAGAAAATATTGTGTTCCTCTGTAGGTTCCTGTGTATCTAATCTCCATGGCATAATTATTGACATCTGTGGTCAAATTTCAAAATTGACATTTTGACTACCAAAAAGAGAATATAGAATTTCTCATGGTGATTTTTCTTCCTTGTCAGGTTTCTGACATAAAGTATTATAGATCGACTGTGTGTTATTTGCCGAGAGCTTGGAATATGCACTCTTCAGTGCAAAAACAACCCACCATAACTTTTTTACCTGAATTCTGCCACAACCACAAGAGGCTTTGCCAGAATCATTAGCTGTTCCTTGTTATTATGGATGACCTGGCATGTTTGGTACTATTTCCAGTAGCTTTTAGTTTTCCAGAGTCATTAATTTGGGCACTGATGCACCTCTTGATGTGCTTCTGTTGTGGAAATTCATTATTTCTTCTTGTGGGCTGATAATTATCATGCATCCTTAGGAAGGAAAGTGTGTGGAAACTCTTGAGCATTTAAATTATGTTGGATTTTACTACGATTTGCAATGCTATGCTTGTAATTCCCTCAATTTTAGCCTGTTTTTTCTCTTCCAGTCTACTCCATCTGAAAGATGTGCCTGTTGGTCCTGGGTGTGGTAAATGTTAAAGTTGGTCCATAAGTTGCATAAGGAATGCAGTTTGTCCCCTGCTCAGCACTGCATCTCTCCAGACCAAATTGGGTTGAATTTAGCCTGCTATCATAATATATGGGAAGTGTTGTCACACTTTTGTGCAAGATTACTCCACTCAGGGAAGCTGCAGCTCAGCCTTTGGCAGCAGAGAACTTTGTGTCTCAGCCTCTCTCATGCGTTCTTCTAAGTGTTTTCCAAAGCTCGCTCTCAAGTCTCATGCAATCACAGAATCACTAAGATTGGAAAAGACCTCTGAGGTCACCTAGTCGAACTGTCAAGTCATCCTCACCATGCCAACTAACCATGTCCCTCAGTGCCACATCTCCACATTTCTTGAACACCTCCAGGAATGGTGACTCCACCACCTCTCTGGACAGCCTGTGCCACTGCCTCACCACTGTTTCTGAGAAGAAACTTCCTAACATTCAACGTGAACCTCCCCCAGTGTAACTTAAGGCCATTCCCTCACATCTTTCAGTTTAGCTGGGTTTTGTTTTGGACTGAAGTTGAGACAGTCCAAATAGAATTGATCTGTGGGTCACTTGTCTGGAGGATCCTTCTGCCTTATCCACTGGAGAAGAGATAAGGAAGTACTGCTAGGACAGCAATTGGAGCAGAGTGCTACATTCTGCTGCACTTCCTGGCTTTCTAAGCTGGCTCAGTGACAGAAATCTTTGAATCATAATGTTACAGTATCTTGAAGATTCATGATGGAATTTTGCAAGTGATAAACTGTTTTGTTTGCTTTTTTAAAATTCAAGATAACAAACTCTCCAAATGCTCTGCTGAAAGAAGAGCATTAAATTTGCAAGTTCACATGTTTGCTTTAGGGAATGTTGCATCAACTTTGCTCTTTTCAGTGAATGCTTCAGGGTATTTTTGTCACTGTTCACTTGATACAAAAACTCCTGCTCCATCAC